GCAGGTGAAGAGCTGTTAACATTTTGTTGGTTTTGGGATTTTTATCACTGATCCTTTCAATAAACAGATGTCTGACATATACAATTCAGATGAAAATAAAACCTATAATTTCAGCACAAAGTAGTGTGAAAAAGGTATCTACCAAAGCACCAGCATATGAAAGCCAATAGTCATTGTAAATGCTTATTTAAAATAATATTAATTTGACATTTATTTTATGATGAGTAAATAAATATTTAAAAACAAAAATATATTACGTTTAATAAATTCATACCTCGTATATTTGAGAGGGAGATTAAGTTTACATTCACCTACATTTTACCTTGGCCATTTAAACTGTGTCTAAAATTACTGACAGGCAGAGGATCTTCCGATCTTTAATGACTTTAGTCCCATGCATGTTCCAGCCATCACCAGACAATAAATGCATACCCACACTGCAGCTTGCAAAGAATAGGGAATTTCCAAAGCTATTTTTAGATGAGCTAACTTGGACACCAGAAGCACTTTAAGCAGCACAAGCTCATGTGGGCTAATTTACTCTGCTTCAGCAAGGAAAATTAGGCTGTAAGGAGGTCCAGATAGTAAGTTCCTGGTGCCCAAGGTACCTCATGTATAATATCCCCTGTATTATTTCTGCTATCCTGCACTCTGTAGCGTAGCCATGGCTGGAGGAAGCCAGACAAAAATCTAGAAACAGTTTAATGTCAATGCTTCATGTGAATAAACATGCATTATGCTATCCTTCTGACATAATTTTCTTGGGGATGCTGCACACTTATTGAATCAGATGACCATAGTAAAGTCTGCAGAAAAGCACATCTATAGCATTACAAATAGTCCAATCACTCAAACCAGCTTTCTGAAAGAGGAGTTGAAGACAGACAAGCCTACTCTTTTTCTACTTCCTTCTGAAGAAGACATAATTTAAAGGAAAAAGGGGACAGATGGAACTACCTGATCTGTATGTAACACCTAGAAGAGGTGGCATTACTTGCTTCCATAATTACTTCTTGATCTCTGATAGTTCATTCTTACCAACGTGAAGAAGAACTTTGATTCTTCTTAAAAGTAAAACATTCAACAATCAGCAAAATGTGACTCATATACATCCACAGATTTAAAAGCACTTACACAAGCAAAAGGAGAAAAAAACCCACATAAATTAACATTATCCTTAGATAAATTCATGACTCAAACCATGATTTTTTTATTGTCCTTATGATACTTCAGAGCATAACTTAGTTTAAAACAAATTACTCAGACAATATTTTTGGAGGATGTTAGAAATTCCAGGTTATATCTTCACTGTCCTTTTTATGCAAGCATGTCAATTGACCATTTTCTTCATAGAAACAAACACTTCCTATAAACAACTGCTTAGCATTCCTGAAAAAAAACCCCAAAAAACTGAAAATTTCCTAAAATCTCACAAAAGGCCAGAATGATACACACTGAAACCTCAGGATAGTGACATAACAGGTGTCTGACACAGCTTGTTCAAAAAGACTGTTAATACTCTATTAGTCAATAAAGAAACAGTTTCATGTTTCAACTTAGAAGGATTCCAGCAGAAATACTGCTACATTCCTATTCATTTTCTTCACCTGGTCCATCCACAGTCATCAGTTTATGGCTGACAGCACAGGTGATGATAATGCATGTGTGTTTATTATAAAGCCGTGCCTTTTGACTACTAAAGAGAATTTAAGAATGCCTGCATTGTGCAATACTCTTTACATCACTATGAAGTGATGTAAAGCCCCAAAGCACCTGTAATGCAGAGCTGACCATGGCTGGAGCATGCAGTCAAGGATTACAGTCAGACTAAAGCCAGCCTGCAGTCAAGGATTACACCCATGCTAGGCGTCATACTGACTCCATGAAGCATCTCTTTTGCAAGCACCATCAAAAACGGCATTTCTACAGATTTTCTTTCCTTTCTCTGAAATATTCTGCTGATGATCAGAGGTCACCAAACAAATACTAGAGAAAAAAACAAAATCCTGTCAGTTTCTCAGTATAGTTTATGAATTACAAGATGCTGTGCTAGAGAACAAGGGAAAAAAAAAGAAAATAAAATATATTATAGTAGAAGCTCCCAAGACTGAGGGAAACAATTCCGACAGCGTGCAACTTTTAATGCTGAAGAGCACAATCTGGAATAATACAGCAGAAGAATGTTCCCATAGCATACACCTGACAAAATCTATTACAACAGAAGTATATCTCAGTCTACTGGGGCAATCATATGCTTTTAGGACATGGTTCTAAAACTAAATTTTCTGTCTTTTGACCCTATATAATTTTTAAAATAAGCAAATAAAATTATTTCTATTTATACAATAGCTACTCCAGGGTAGGAGTAGATGCTCTGACTATATGCTCTAGATCAGGCACATGGCCACCCACAATCTGGAAGAAGTTTAGGTTAAATCTGATGTAATACTTTATGTAGACTTAGCATTTGCTGGCTTCATTTGAAATCTCCAATGCTGATTGAAAGACAGCTGAAATTCCTTCTCCATAATAAATAATCTAGGGGCAAATCTAAATTATGTGAAGTAGAGAACCCCATCAAGCAATTTCTCCAGCAAATATCAGAGTTATTAGACTCTGTATAATTCAGATAAAGAAATATAATACATGCAGATTATTAATTTCTAATGGGACTGATAGTAAGACCTTTTTTTGTCTCACATTATCATAATTTCCAATTCTTAACGTGGAAGTCCATCTGTGTACTTCCAGAAGCACCATGAACCAAGGTCTAAGACAAGACAATGAGAATTTCACACTGAGTAATATCCACCCAGAGGTATATATATACACACATGAAAGTTGCCAGCATCAATAACAGGCACTAAAATTAGTTCGACTTTCAGATGAACCAGAGCTTGTTTAAACAATCTTCATATTTGCAAACATGCAATGAAGAAAGATGAGAGATTAGTTTTCCCCCTAAATAAACAAGACTGAATAATGAACCCATGAAGAATTAGTGTCTACTTTTCAATATTAGCAAAGAACTCAATTTCTTATTGTTAAGAAATGCGTAGATTGCAAAAGTAGTAACCCCAAATTTTTCAAGCCTGTGACGTACTAATAGTTGCAAATGCAGATTATTTGGCTATCCTAAATAAATTAAGGGAAAGGTACACAATCACTCCAACTGGCAATCAGTTTAAAATGTTAGAAAGAAAATCAGTGAGTAGTTACCATGAAGCTCATGATGATAACTGACAGTAATAGATCAGTGGAATTTAAAAACAATAGCTATTACATGAATAAAACGGCTGTAATTTAAAATCTATAATTTAAAATCAAAAATACACTACATAGGGCTATTGTGCTGTGGATTTGAATGAACCAATCTCTTTATACACAGAGAGATACTTCCTGTAAAATCAGATTTTCTTTTAATGTTTCTCTTCAATGACATAAAAACCACATCGTAGGGGCTCTTGCTGAACACAGGCTCTTTGCTACGGCAGTTCAGGAGCCACATCCTTTTCACAGTTGAAAAAATTTCTAGAGTATTCCCATCACTTCTTCTTGCATCTCTTAAGCTATATAACCTGTACATAACAACACTCTCAATACAGCCACCGTATTCCTCCTACTCTCATCTTCAGTACTGCAATCTGCTTACTTTTCTACAGCAATCTGCTTATTTTTCTACAGTATCTTTCCCACCTCTGCTGCTATGACTGCCTTCTACTACTGAATGCTGCTCTTTTCTGTAGCTGTACCTGTAACCTCTTGCAGCTTTATGTCTTCCGCCTCCTCCTTTCACAGCTGTGCTTCTAATTTAGAACTTCGTTACTTTCAGTCTGTAACTTTCAGTCACTTTGTTACTTTCGGTATGATTCCTCTTACTCCTCTCACTGAATTCTGACCACTGCCTCCAAAAAACACCAACCCTTCACTCTTTTCTTTTGTGTTTTCTCTCCATTTGCCCCTTTACTACATCACCCTGAATGACACCATCTTTGAATTTAGGTTAAAAATCTTTCTTCATTTTCAAGGGACTGCCCACCCTTATTATCTCAGCATCCTCTAAATGCTGCTTGCTATTTCACTGGTTTTCATCCAAACTGCACCCAGCTTCCAACACATGCAATCTGTATAATCACCAAAAAAATCTTTGTTTTCCATGCACACAATCAAAAAACTCACAAATTTTATTACATAACTCAATGCAAAAGGACTCTTATGGAGCTATATGCCCCACTGACCACATTTTGCAGACAGGAATGAACCTTTTTCACTCCAATAGCCCCCTCTAAATTACTGTGTTGCTGGTTCTCGTAACCTCCAGCACAAAGTGTCTTTACTTTTCCAATCTTTCTCAGCTTTGAGTTCAAAAACCTATGCCTCCTTCCACCCAGCTACTTTTCTTTGATCCTATCCCCATGCTATGAAAATGCATCTGCACATAATAATGGCATCAGTAGTGCATTAACCCGCTGGCTAATCCCCTTTTTGCCACGTGCATAAGAAGGTCACATTTAAGCCCTTTTAATGTGTTTTTGAAAGAATTTTAAAACTCAATTATTTGTATGGCATTTTATGAATTATATTGACACTATAAGTCTATTAGTGTCTGTAAAGTGCTATGTTCCTAACTGTTACTCTGTAAATGAGCAGTAAGATAGAAATAGGAACAGCAAAAGAAATCAAGCTTCAGGTGATTACAAATGAGAAGAGAAAAGCAGTGTTATACAGCATAAATATTCACAATAAATCTACTTTTAATGGTACTGTAGATAGGGAGTTTTAGAGGGTTGCTAAGAATTTTGTTTAGCTGGGACCAAACACATTTGGTCTTGACAGCAGCTGAGTTCATGATCAAAATGGGAACAACTTCATATTGGAATGATGTTGCTGACTGACCAGAGCTGTGACATGCTGTGTGCCAAGGGAGAGCAGACAGCAAGGACACTGTGATACTGGGAGATAGGGTTTACTGTCTTGTATGTGGATTGATATTTTGTGACCTGGTGATATGACTGGCTTTGTAGACCTCATCAGCAATTGATGGATGGAGCACTCTGTTTAGTGGCCTGTAAGAGAAGAAACAACCTTTGTTTTGGTTTTGAGCAGAAAAACGTAATTGATTTTGAAATGTCAAAAATCCAGTCTGTAACAGCAGCTATGATACATTTACTTTTTTGGGTAAATCCACACAACTGTGCCTTCCCACAAAAAACAACAACACCAGCTCCGCTACATATGAACACAGAAAGCTTTGTAGACCTGAGAAAAGCAGCATTAAATCCCTAGAGGCAGTGCAAAGGCAAGGGGCATCTTGTGGGAGGCAGAAAGCAAATGGTCATTTCAAAGAACGGATACACCAAGAACTGAAAATAAACGGGAGGGGAAAGGAAGTTCCTAAAAGAAAGAAGGGATCATTCTGGAAGTTTAAAATAGTATCCTAAACTGTGGTAAGTCAGTTACAAAAATCCAGGGAGGCAGTCTGGAAGAGTATGAGTAGCAACCCATGCTGTCATCGAAAGCTTACAATAGAATAATAGGTTTTCAGGGGTAGGTTTTCCACTTGAATGTTCTAATGGCTTGAAGAATACTAGTTTGCCAGTGTAATGGGGTTTTTGCTTCTGAGTAAGATGTGGAAAACTTGAGGAAGTTCCTACACTTGCAGTTTTCTTAATAAATGCCTCAGTAGAAAAATCTATCTCAAAATAAATGTCAGACAGAAAAATTATGTGAGAAATAGAGGAATAAAAAAAAGATGAGTAGTGAAATTCCAGTACCAAGCAATATCTGTTTCAAAGATGAACTGATTAGCTGAACCACTAGTTGTAGCGTGCAACCTAGCACTTAAAGCCTACTTAACAAAGGACTGGAAAGCAGTAAATGTGCCACTCATTTTTGAAATGCATTCCAGGGAGTACCTGCAAACAGGTAAGTCTCAACACTACATCAGACCCGATAGTGGATACTATAATAAAGAACAGAACATGTGGACAGCTTATATGCATAGAAAGGATATATTGCTTACACCAGGTAAGAGATAGCTCACCCCTCGTAAATGAAAATAGTTTGTGAAAAATTTATCAATGATTAGGTTTGTAAAGGAGATCTACTCAATATAGTCTACTCCAATTTTCAAGAACTGTCAAAAGTCAGGAACTGATACTGCAAACATCAAGAAGGCCCTTATGACTGAACTCCTGGCCATCTGGTGGTAAGTAAAATTCAACAGACAGGAAGTTATATGCACAGGAATCTCAATGTTTACTGTACTGGTAAAATGATGAGAGCTGAGTACATTATTACCATTCATGCATGAAATACTGAGGCCTTAAATAGATCTGGAAAATGTATGTTAAATGAGGACTAAAAATGGGGGAAAAAACCAAACATTCAAATCCAAAACAAAATTAACCAGCCTTGGGTTTAAGCATTTGTATTAAGCTTAAAGAAGTATTAAGAAGTATTAAGCATTCATATTAGGAAAACAAGATTAATATACTAAGCAATGGATATAAATTAATGGATTGCTCACGTGTTGAATACCTTACAATTTCTCATTTCATCCCTCTATCTTACAGGAAAAAAAGATATAGTAGGACTGAACTAGGTACAAAAATTGATGGGATTAGCTAAGGCTGGCAAAGAGATGTCAGAGCAGGATATAAAAGAAGTCCACAAAATCTAGAGTAGTGGAATTACAGAGAAGGAATCCACTTTACATCCACCTCCTCCAACTTATGAGTTGGTGGGCCTCAAGTGCAGAGAACAGCATCACATCAAAAACAAAAAAACTGCTTCATGCAAAGTGCAGTGAAGTTATCCATTGCTGAAGATGCTAAGAGTTTATATGGACTCAAGTGGAGAATGTACAAGTTCATGGAAGAAAAATCCTTCATTAGCTAGTGTCCTGGTTTAGGGAAAATTTGGAAGGAAACTTTCAACGGGGTCCAGATTCAAGTGGTCCCTACCCTAATTGGTTTGAGAAAAAGATTTTCTTGGAGAAAAGTGGAAAAAATGTTTATTTAACAAGCAAAGTACTCACAAGCATAAAAAAAAATAATATTAAAAAATAAACCTCTCTCTGTTTGAAGAGATGGTAAATGCAGAAAGTCCTTGTCGTGGGGTGTAGCTCAGCCCGCTCAGTCTCTTATCAGTCCCACTGGCACTGGAATTTGTCACATCCCAGCCCCTGGTGGGCCACAGGTGTGAGCTCCTGATGTTTGTCTGGGTTTTCAGTCCAGAGCAGGTTTGAACAGACCCAAGAAAAAGAAAAGCCACAGTCTGGGGATCTTCTCTGCCTCAGCTGGCTAAAAACAAACATCAAGGGAGAGCTCTGTCCCACTGTCTGTCCGTGCTGCAGACAGCACAGCCCAGGAGCAGAAGGCAGAGGAGTGAGTGCTGTTTCTGAAAATAAACTGCAGCTTCTTCCTTCCCCACTTCGCTCTTGGAACCATCTTAAATGTGCAGAACTTAACATCCAGCATAAACACAATAGACAATTGGGGATACAAGCGTCATAAAGACACCTAGTAAATATATGGATGCTTCCTGTCTTTATAGGATGCTGTGAGCCAAAAGTTGTACTGAACCGAATCAGAGGACATTCTGAGCTGGGACAAACCCATGAAGATCATTATATCCAACTCTTAAACGAATGGCCTGTAGGGGGATCGAATCCAGTGCCACAGCATTATTAGCACCATGCTGTGACCAACTGAGCTAGTATCAGTGTCTGTGTGAATATCCAGGGATATTCTGATACGCCAACTGACTTCTGAATGCTTGCTTCACCAGTACATTCTTCACTGTAGTAATCAAAGACAAAGTTGTATAAATAGACTCAGTTTTTCAGAAGTCTGTTCATTCAGTAAACTACAAATGAGATACTCTAGGTCCTCAGATTTCACTGTAGTAATGTGTCACTTAAGTTTATTATGCAATATTAAGGATGGCACCTACAAACATCTTCTTTAATACATGGAGAGTTATTAGTACCATCTACTGTGTCAGCTTGAGTCATCTAATTTAGATTGAGTCAGAATATTTAAAATTAGTGCTACCTACATACAGGAACAGAACTGTTTCCAGACAGATCTAAATTAAATGCATAAAGGAAAAAATCCATAAATATTCCCTCCAGTGTTACTTCTACTCTACCTAGTATTTGCCTCACATTATTGCTTTCCACATACATACTTATTCAATTATTAATAAGAAAAAAAATTAGTATGAAGTATTGGCATTTTTAACACCTTCTGTTGACATCTCCATTACAGATCTATCTCAAGGCTAAACAGATTCTGACAATGGCACTTTATAAGAAAAATAAATTGCCCTTCTGTAATTTTTTGCTTTTGAAAGTATTTTTTCATAAGCTAACTTTAACAAAAGTCAGATTTAACAAAATCTTTACTTCAAAAATACAAATGAAACTCCACCTCTTACATGGTCTTTTTCAATAACTTCACAAATAGAAGAGTCTGCATTCTTCAGGTTGTTCTGAGGCGTATCAATGGCATCATCTACATGGCAGGTATCACACAAAATGACACGAATTATGCTCCCCTTGGCATCTGCCAGGATTTCAGTTTAAAACAAAGTGCAGCTTCTCCCTGATAGCATCCTGATTAAACAAATAAACTATGGCACTGACTGCAAATGTACACACCAGAGTGTAAAAAATGAACAGATACAATGGCCAAATCTGTATTTAATTTTAATTAAATTTCATTCTGTAGCTCAATTAATCCACAACTCCAAATGTCAGCAGGGCTTAGGCAAATGGAATGACATCTGCTAGACTGCACGCTGACTATAAAACCCTCACTGCATGCTAGAGCTCTGAAAATGTACCAGAAGAAAAAGAAAAAAGAAATGTTCTCAATAAATATATATCAATGTGCACAACTCTAATTTCAACAGAAGATAGGAAAGGTACTTGATAGAAAACCCCGGAAAATGTCTTTATTTTACAACTTCAGCTAATAATATTGCAAAACTAAAACTGAATACAGTGTTGTCCATTAGTAATAACATATTTACAATGGAATTGTGATATTTTTAAATAATCTACTAAGAGATACCTTGTAGCATCATGTGTAACTAAAATAAATCATATTGTAAACATTCCATATTATTTTTAATATACACTTGTATATGCACAGAAGTAATATCCAGAAGTTTCTGCTCATGTGTGATCGCTGTAGGAAGACATTATTTCTGTCACAGAGAAACTGATGTACATTTTTAACAGCATTAAAGTACTTCAATGGTAATCTGACATCTAAATATGTTTACAGTGCCAGCCACATGACAGGTGGATTAGAAGTGAAGTTAGGGAATTTGAGGGAGGGATAAAAAAAAGACACTAACAGTGAAAGTAACTTCACAGATTTTCTGAGTCACACTGCCATATTGATATCCGTGTTAGTCCTTCATTTATTTTCTTTTTTTTTTTTTCATTCTAAAAGACTGGCCCCATCTTAGCCATAATTTTGGACTGACTTTTAAGACAAATGAGAGATAAAAACAGGTAGGGCTAAGGAAGCTTGGGATGAGGCCTCTATACCTCTGAGAGTGGGAGAGGTTTCTATAATAAGGGTTGTGAAGTAAAAACTGATTTTTAATATAACTACCCAATTCAATGGACCTTATTTAAAATACACTGAGGCAAACTGAGGCAAAAAGCAAAAATGAAAGGAAAAGCCTGTATGCATTTCACCATACCTTATGAACAAAAATGTATTAAGATGTATCCATTTTCCAAATACTGACCATGGCTTTGATCAAAAAATATAAAATAATGCTGAACTGCAGGATAATGGGTACTCTGTCATAAGATCTGATTCTGCAAATACTTAAGTCAGTCACATAATATGTTTACAGGACACAGCCTGTCATTTAGTTTTCAATTTACTGATCTCTATAATCATTTCCTCCCCCTATTGAAAACCAAGACACTGAGTATGTGAAAAGTGAAATAGAAGCTTCCATGTTTTTTTTTAAATTATCATTACATGTCCTTCCAGCACTATTAACTGTGGTTTGTGCAGCTCATGTGTGTTTTCAA